GTCACTATGTAGTTACTATTTTTAAATTACTAATAAAGATACGAGCAAGGCCTCACCTTAATACCAAAAAAAAAAATTAATATATATTATTAATGTAATATAAATTATTATTAAATTATTTAACAGATGCCTCAAATTCTTTTAAATCATTTTCATTTGGATTTGTATTACAACTCATTTTATACATAATATTCCATTTGATAAATAATATCATTAATGCTTTATCTATTTGCTTATCAAATGAATTTAAAATACTATCAATTATAAAAGGTATAACTTTTATAATATCTTGATATTTTCCTGCTATAAAATATTTGATATTTTGTAGTCTAAATTTAAAAATTTTAAGCCCATGAATGGGTGAAATATTTCTAAATTGATAATTTATTTTATTTATTGCATCATTTCCATCTAATTTTTTTAAAAGCATTCGACTATATTTAATTTGATAATAAAAAAGACCAATATCTAAATGATGTAGCCGATCTGGTACAGTAGCTCATATAAATATTAATGTCTGGTAGTTTCTAAAAGCTATTTTGTAAATTAACAAGTGAATAAAGATTGTTTGTTTTTGTCATTATAGCTACTTTTATATTCTCATGTGTACGATAAATAATTTGATCACTAGTTAAATTAATACCATCTGAATATAAAATTATAGATAAAAGTTTTGATGCAAATGGAAGTTGTTGTTCAGTTTGTTTCTACTAATCAGCATTATATATTTCAGCATAATATCGAACTCTTTGATTATTACTATCTATTTTTCAATGTTCTTTGTAATTAAATTCATATTGTTGCATTAAATTATCATTTTGTATTAGCTCTTAAATTGCAAGAATAATTGATCTATTTTCAAAGTAATAATTTGTATTATTATATATTGAAACTAGATCTTTTTTAAATTGTAAAGTAGGTGTATTAATTGATCTAAGATAATGTCATCCTGCACTAGTTGATTTTGGTAAAGAATTTTGACTCCAGGATGAATATTTTCTAAATACTTTAAGAAAAGCATCTCTCACCTTATTGCTAATATTATATTTATCTACTACATTCATAAAATCTATAAATGTATTATTAAGTAACTTTGATTCATTAGATATTCTAAAACTTGAATCAAGTTCATAGTTATCACTATTTTCATTCATATAGTTAATATTATCTTTATTTATAGAATTATTTTTGTTAATATCACTAACCAATTCTTTATTATCAGTTATAATTATTCCATTGCTTGAATTGCTTAAAGAATAAATTGATAAATCTAAATTAGAATTTTTGCTTTCTTTATTCGATGTTGAGTATATTTCTATAAAGTTTTTTTGTTCATTATTAAATTGAATTTGTCTTGAAGTATAGTTATTCGTAATATCATTTAAAGATTTAAGTTTATATTCTAATGATTTTTGTGATTTCTGTAACCTTGTGAAGTTTTAAATTCTTTTTTGCAAATTTTGCAAATATGTGCTATTTGTATTTACAAAATAAAAATTTAAAAATTAATATTTTATTTTATATTAATAATTAAAATTTAGTGATAATTTTTGTGATTTATTATT